CCCCAAAACCCCAAAACCCCAAAACCCCAAAGCATTATTAAAATATAGATATTTTTGTACAACAAATGGGATTTCTTACCATAACTTCTCAAACTCTCAGTTGGGAAGAAGCTAAAAAAATACAAGAAACTATTAAATCGTATGGAGTGCTGCAAGCTATTAAGCTGTACTCTACTTTTAAGGATCTTCAGAAAGATCTAGAGGAGCTTTCGTGGGGTGAAGAGGCCGAGTATCATATATGTAAGAACCTATGCAAGGAAGAGAAGACCATGGTAGTTTCTGGTGGCTATAAAATAATCCAAGAAATAGTCAATCAACTTGATCAAGATGATTTTGAATATCATGATGAGTTTGGCTCTTACATGGTAGAAGCGATCCCAAAGGAACCATATTCCTTATATGATTGACACAGTCCAGCCCAGGCATATGAATCTCTTTATAACAGGAGAAAATTGATAAATGATGAGCTTTCCAAGGAGGAAATGTTCTTATCATCTGTCTCTAGCTGGCCACGCCTTGGAGTTGATGATTTCTTTTGTAAAATTAAAGATGGCTTATCTGATGTTAATGACTATCCAAATACTTTAGACACTGAAAAATTTAGTATTCACAATAGCGAACTTACAAGCGATCATCCAAGATTTCCAGCCATGATTGATTCAATTAGGCTTCGAAGGGGAGGAAAGTATGGCTTGAATGTGCCTTTGTTTCAAGAAGATGGCACTGCTTGAGAAGAGGTTGAAGAGACCAAAACCCCAAAAGAAATTCATCTTGATTCGCTTCATTATGGACTTGGAGCAATATGTTTGCAAGTTACTTTCGAAGCCCAAAATATCAACCATGCTAGATATCTCCACGACTCTTTCATCTCACTTGGACCAATCATCGGAGCTTTAGGAGCTAACGCACCAATATATAAAGGGCAGCTCTCAGGTTGGGATTTCAGGTGGAATGTGATTGCTGGACTCGCAGATTCAAGGAATTCTGAAGAGCTTAATCCAGATTCTGAAAAATTCGTTCCTTGCTCCAGGTTTTGATCAAATAATCATTATATTTCAGAGCACCCCAATTTTTCTGGAAAAAGAATAAATAATGGAGAAAAGATCGAAATCAACCAAGATTGGTATGAAAGCTTCAAAGATTCAGGAATGAGTGATAGATTAGCTTACCACTTTGCATCTTTGTTCTCTCATGATGCTTTGATAATTTACGAAGATAGGATCAAATATGATTCAAGTAGCACTGAGCACTTTGAGAATCTAAATAGCACAAATTGGAACTCAGTGAGGCTCAAGCCTCCTCCATCTTATGACTCTCAAATCGGGTGGAGAGTTGAGTTCAGACCTCTAGACATTCAGATTACTGATTTTGAGAATGGAGCATATGTTGCCTTGTTGAATCTGCTTACCAGAGTGATCAATGACTTCGATATTGATTTCTCCCTTCCAATATCTCTTTCCAATATCAACATGGAGAGAGCTCACCAAGTTGATGCTGTGACTAAACAGAAGTTCTGGTGGAGGACAAATATCGTGAAGGAGGACTCTGATTATACAACCAACCCTGCCAAAGAATCAGGGTGGGCCTTCTTCAGTGAGCCTGGTTTTGACAACTTTGATTCTTCTTGATTTAAAGAGATGACGATTTCTGAGATACTTGAGGGAAGCGAAGGCTTATCTTACAAGGGAATTTTTCCTTTAATCGAAGAATATATATCCCTAAATAAATTCCATTCAAAAGATATGACTTACTGTCAGAAAATGCTATCATTTTTAAGCCAAAGAGGATCGGGTAAAATCACAACGGGAGCTAGATTCCAGAGGGACTTTGTTTTAAACCATCCAAATTATAACCAAGACTCACTGGTAACAGATAAAATCCAATACGATTTGATCAAAGAAACATCATTGCTCGCATCAAACCAGAAATGGGACGAAAATCTCCTTGGTCTATTCTAATATCAAATTAGTAGTAAAAATTGGCGACTCCATTATGTATTAAATTATATTTAGTACTTATTTTGTCAAGATATGTATTCAGCAATAGCATTTATCTAAGGGGTTTTGGGGTTTTGGGGTTTTGGGGTTTTGGGG